TGAAAATTGTCGCCACCCCTGCGTAGCATATAGTTAGTGTGGGCACCATTAATAAACACCCATGGTACATATTGTACATCAGGTTTAGTGGCGATATCCTTTTCATACGCCCTTAACATCAAACCCCTGCCTAAGGGTCCGTAAGCGCACTCATTAATTGTGGTCATATCGAGTCCCACTTTGTTGGCACACTATTTATAATTTCAAGTTTATTATTTACAATTATTTAAAATGTGGTAACTTTTAATCAAGTCACCTGTTGTGCAGCAATTGCCGGCTCATTCACGTCTTTGGATCCCATAACACATCCAATGAACGGCACGTATTTGTCCGCCGATTCGCTCTCAACAGCGCATAACTATTATTAATTACAAACAGAATTGTTATTAATTATTATCAATACATAATATTACAATAATTATCATACACTAATCAAGGTGCCAAGCTCTTCAGCAACTTTCATGTTTAAATCAAAAGTACCATCAGTTTTATTAACTTTGGTCCACTGATGCCATTGTGACAAACCATAGGGGAAAAAGTTCACATTCATTATGGACTTTAGTTTTTCAAATGCTGGAGCTATTTGTGTACTAATTTCCCGACGACACGGACCACACTTGTACTCGTAGTATAGGGTTATGTCAACCGGGAGTGGTTTGGCCGGCGGTGGGGTATCCACTAATTGACATAGTTGCTTTTGCAAGTAGGGATAACTATGGCATTCTGTGTTTGTGTAATAATCTATAAGATCATCTTGGTACACGTTCACAGCATCCACTTCTTTAGGGTCTGTGCACGGTGGCTAAAATTTGGATTAACCATATTAGATTAAAATGCTAAATAATTTAATTAATACCGTAGATTATAATTAATTGACATACATTCATGACTACAAATTCGTTATTATAACAGTCAATGGTATCAAAATACTCGCAACACTGGGACTTAGTTTGTGGTTTAACATTAAGCCATTTATCATGGGCCTTTTTGGCGCATGCATTTCCGAGTGCAACCGTTGTATTTAAACAATGTTTCGCCGCCTCACTTGGTTGCGGACGTTGCGGGTCATCATTACCGGTGCTGTACTGTATACTGAATGCCATACTGTTTGCACAGTATATAAGGCTCAAACACCCAATAAAAACTAGTTTATTCATTTTATAAATATATAACAGTAGCAAGTTCATATAAATTTACAATAAATAATATTGTTGCTAATTTTGCTATTTATACAAAATGTATAACCCTGGTACATTAATGCGATACTGATTATATACACCACAAGTGTTGAATATTGGACTATTAACCCATCTTCATAATTCTATATTTTTTAAAGATTAGTAAAGCTATATTTTCTAAAAAATATAACAATTGTATAAAATATTATTTGAGATAAAATTAGGTTAAGCTACCAAATCAATGCTTTATATAGATTAAGACGAAAATTGTTTTAGTACAATTGAATTCTTGTTAATTAGTGATAAATATCAATTAATCATCACCTTGTATTAATGTTTGCAAATAGCAAATGCAATGGAGTTCTCTAAAAGGGGAGTGACAGCAACTTAAAATATAAACACCATGTAAATAAGTGATGCCAGGATAGAAAATTAATTTAAATTGACAATCTTAGCTGGTACTACTTGTTTACCCACAATTTGGTACTACAGTAGTTGTTGACATTACTAGTTCAGACATACAATCTTTAACAATTAATTCTATAATAACGTCTAAAAATTCTAAACATGTTGGCACTACTTATTTAATTTGCTCAGATATATGACTCATTTACACATGATACCATGCTATATTATCAGGTTAAAAATCTTATTAGGATGGTTTTAAATTGAGTGCTGAGATTACAATAATTGTGTGTACATGAATCCATAGTTCTTGTCGTCACTATCAATAGTATATTATAATACTTTACTGAAGTGTTTATAATATTAAATTCAATTCAGTCTCAATACTCTAATCATTAGAGTCTAATGTTATTGTAGATTAATGTTATTATTATAACGTTAATTAATTTTGGATCACTTTTAAGCAAATACATCACAAGTGAAATTTTCTAGTCACTATAACCTAAATAACTTTAATATATCTAATCCAGATTACTTGTAATTTAAAGTAGAAGGTTGATTAAATATTTATTATATAAAAATACTAAATTATAAATATCTGCATTATCAGACCAGATAATGATAGTTATTTGCAGAGACCCGCGGCCTTAGTGTTATCAACAATAACAACATGGTTCAATTTATGTTACATAGTTTTCCACAAAAATAATATTCATTGTGAATTGAATAACATTGTGAACTCTACGGCCGCTATATTAATAATTTTCTTATTGATAATTTTAAATTACAGACAAAATAAAAAAAATGTGAAATAGAATAAAATATTTTATGTTAAACAGTAATCGATTTATTTTATTGGTATTCAGTAGTCTTAGTGCCCTTAAATAAAAAACATAATAAACAATTTAATTATTTATTTACAAAATTAATTTATATTTAAGATTCTTATGGCATAAACATTGTAAACAACTTTGTGAAAATTATTTTATACTTTTACATATACAGACTTTTGCATTAAAATTGAGAATAATAGGGGCTACTTTATAATTTAATTGTAGCGCTATTATTGGACGTATTTTACTGATTAATACATCAAATTAAAGATCAGAAAATACGGTTTTAAACGGTATATCACATGATATATTTCAAAATTTGGAAACAATTTTTTGATGCCAAACAACAGTTATCAAACTAAATGTAGATATATTTGCTGGTAAAGGCCTGTAATTTGCTCCGTATAAAATTAATCTTAATTTGATAAAGGTTTTAATAACTTATTCTTATGTAGGATTTAACGCTAAAAACAACTATAACATTTAAAAAATTCTAGCTCAAATACTTTTAAAAATATATGGCCACAAAACCACCAGAAAAACAAATATTTTGCTTATGTTTGAATTTCCCTATGCTATTATAAGCTTATATACACTGACCCAGTGTATCCAAAACAAGCGCTCACCGTGTTTAACATTTAATTGTGACCAACTGGGGCAAAATTTAATATTGGTTATATTTTTATCTTATAGTAAATGTTTAGTGTAATTAATCATTTAATTTTCACAATAAAATATCTAGTCGTTTTAAAGATATAAATTTTTTTCAATTCTCAATTTTAATGCAAAAGTCTGTACTGTATATGTTTTATATGTTGTCATTTTGTATTTTAAAGACATGGATTTTTATCAAGGTATTTGTAGTCGACGCAATCTTTATTGTTAAGGTATCCTTTGTATTGATTACCCCAAACATTCACAGCCCAGGCTTCGTCCTTGGTACATTTTGTCTTAAAATTTTGTAAATTAAATTTTTAAAATATAATTAAGCCTAAAAAGCGTAATATTATTTATAGAAATAAATATTCTGTTTTAAAAGTTTTAATTTACCCCGTGCTCATCGACAGCAACCTTTTCAACACAATCTAAATACTCGTATGAATCGCAGCACAAGGCCTTTGAATGGGGCTCAACGGTGTGCCAGTGGTCGTAGGCGTTCACAGCACAGGCCCTCTCCTGATCACCTTTTTTATCAAACATACAGTGAAGAGCCGGTAGAGTGGGTGCGGGTGCATCGGGATCAGGGTAGTTTGCTTTATAATGGCTTAAACTAGGTGCATTACTAGCGCTGTAAACGTAGCACAGACTAAAAATCAATAATAGTTTAAACATTGTTGATCGTTTAATATATTGGTCGGCACTCTTTTTTAGCATATCACATATACAGATTCACAGTATGCCATAAAAAGGTGGCGCAACGGTTAGTAAAAAAGTTTACGTTTGTCAATATTAAACAGAAAACACTATGTAAAGATCAACCTAGTAGTTTTTACCCATTTGTATAGTGGTTGGCTTTCAGTCTATCCACAAAACGTAATTTAAAATAAAATCTAATTATTAAATACACATTTTAATGAGATTTTTGATATTGTTTGCGATTATCTACAATTTTATTAATATTTGACTTAATCGTATTTGATTACCATATTTTCAAACGTGATCTTAATGTTTTTGTGCAACAATACAAGACATGAAACACAAGACAAAGGATTGAATACTCGAGAAGTGATTGAATCAGACATTGAATCCAATGATGGCATCGATTGTGATATTACTGTGGAATCAGATAACGAGACAATTAACGGAACAGTCGATGAAAATGTTGTCACAAATCAAACGCAAGACATAAGTATTACTGAAGAAACGATTGATGGAAGTGTTGATGAAAATGAAATACAAAGAGACGACAATTTAATTAATAAAACTCAAGACAAAGGGTTTTGTGTCGAAGAAAACACTGAATCAGACATCGAGTCAAATGATGGCATCGATTGTGACATTACTTGTGATTCAGATAACGAGACAATCGGTGGAAGTGTTGATCAAAATGAAGACATGAATGAAAGACAAGACTTGAATAGAAATATAAAGAAATGTGAAGTAAAAGAGAGCGAAACAGAAGTGAACAGCAATTCAGACACCGATTACACCGAAAGTGAGACAAAACGGAGGAAATATGATATGAAAACTGGCGGTCAGTTTATCTGCGATTTCATGGGATGTGATGCGAGATATCCGTTGAAAAACAGTCTCTATAAACACAAATTGAAACATTCGGGTCAGACATACAGGTGTGATGTCGAGGAATGTGAGGCAATGTTTACCACTAAAGAATACCAAACTCGTCATAAGAATAGACTTCACTCTAAGAAGTCATTGTCTGGAAGTGATTACAATTTAAGTGAAAATAACTCAAAAACAAATTCGGATAATAATTGCGAAACAAATGCCAAAAGAAAAGTGAAATTAAATACAAGTGAAGCGAAAGACAGCGAAACAGAAGAGTATAATAACGGGTCGAGTGATAAAGAAATGGACAGCAATTCAGACACCGATTGCACCCAAAGACAGACTAAACGTAGAAAATATGATAAGAAAACTGACGGTCAGTTTGTATGCAATTTCATCGGTTGTGGAAAAAAATTTATGACAAGAAAATCTGTGACTCAACACAAACGCATACATTTTGGTCATACATATCAGTGCGAAGAGTGTGGAAAGTGTGTCAAATCCAATCGATCACTCATTCAACACAAACGCATACATTTAGGTGAGACCTACCGTTGCTCTGAAGTGGACTGTAGGGCAACGTTTGCCACCGAAGTAAACCTAAGACAACACACTATTGTACGTCACGGCTCTAAATACCGTTGCGATCATAAGGGATGTGATTATAAAACTGGACGTAAGGAGAGTATAAACGAGCACCGAATCAGTCATTCAAATGAACGCCTATTCAAGTGTTCAATCAATGGCTGCGATAAGACGTTTAAAACAGAAGTTCAGTTGAATAAACATCAGTTGAGAGCACATCCCGACTCATTTGCAGACATACCATGGATTGAATGCTCGCATACGGGCTGTCAGTATAGGACTAAATGCAAACCAGACGTTACGGTACACATGAAAACTCATTTAAAGCCCTATCGATGCGATGAATGCGGAAAATGTTTTGGTAAAACAGATCATCTCAACAGACATAAGAGAACTCACGACAAGTCGTTGCAAATCCTGTGCGAATGGCCTGAATGTGAGCGAAGATTTGCTGATCGAGATAACATGAAAAGACATATGAATTCACACACGTGTGAGACCACATACCGGTGCCAATGGCCCGGTTGTGACAATACTTATGTCAATAAATGGTCGTTAAGTGTACACCAAAAGAGAGTACACAAGGGTTTGTTGGAAAACAAGTGTCATTGGCCTGAATGCGAGTACTCGACCACTAATCCCATTAGACTTCATAATCATATCGATAGACAACACAAGGGTCTGCAGGACTACCGGTGCTCTCATACGGGCTGTGATNATCATATCGATAGACAACACAAGGGTCTGCAGGACTACCGGTGCTCTCATACGGGCTGTGATTATACGACCACTAAATGCGGACAATTAGACTCACATATGAAGACTCATAACAAATAAAGAAATTATATCAAGTATTTTAACAAATATTACTGGGTTTGCGTAAAACTATTCAAATTAATTGAATCATTATCGTTATTGTGATTATTATACATATTTTTATGCAATTCTGTATACAATATGACAATTTACAGTTAACATTAATTGTATTAATATTAGTATTTTTGTTTCTTAAATTAAGACTCTTAATTGATAATTAATATTTATTAATAGATTTTAAATTGTTTTTAAGTTTATTTCAATAAAATAAATATTTTAATTGCAATTAGTTGTGAACGTTTTGTATTGACTACACGTGGAGATCACGTGACAGTCGTTGTTGTTGTTTGCGTGCAATGAATGAGTGTTTGAGTCAAACATGGGATCAATTTGTGGTGATTTTCGTGGTTTAAGTCGAAGACAATTGATATTAAAGTTAAATGAATTGCAAAATGAAAACAATTGTTTGAAAACAGATTTATTG